TTTCCTAATTAATAATATCAACTAGATATTTTTTCAATCTTTTTATGATAATTTTCTGAAACAATAAGCAATAGCAGAATCACATAGCCCTCTTAAGCTTCATATTTTAAATTAGATATATACTGAACCATCAACAGTGCTCCAGCTTTCCTTTTGAGAAAAATATCTAGGCAAGATTCTGTGGCATGTCTTGCACTTGTTCTTTTTTTTTTTCCTATTAGTTAAAATGGTTTCTTATCTGTGTTTGTCAATAGTGCGCCATAGCGCTGCGAATAACGGTTTCTTAGCGGTGGAATAGCTGTGCCTTTGCGGTTTGATGGTCGCTATTCTCAATTTAGGGATTATTCGCAAACCCTAATGTCAAGGGTACATTGGTCTTTCCTACCCTTCTATTGACCTAATATTTAATCCCACGAGTTATGCTTCGGTTCCACTGTTTTTTTCCCTTCATTTTCTTCATTGTTCTCCCCTACATTTGCCATTTCCCACTGTTCTTTGCCGTTAGCCTCCGTTCTCCTATGCTTCTTCGCAGTTTACCTATGATATATTGTTCTGCTTCGCCTCTTCTCCCTGCTCTGTTTCTCTTCAAAGATTAGTAACTTAGTATTGAACTCTTTTGCTCTGTTTCTTCTCTCTTTCTCTGTTTTTGACTTATTTCTCTCTCTTTCTCTGTTTCACCTCTTTCTCTATGGTAACTCTTATGCTATCTTTATCTTGGATATGTATGCTGTTGGAATTTATGTTTAATGTTGAAATACTTTTATAAATTTGATTTTGATGGGAACTCATTCTGTTGGAATTTATGTTTGCTGTTGGAATTTATGTTTACTCTTGGAATTCTACTATGTGTGCTGTTGCAATTTCTATTAATAAGTATTTATGTAGGCTGTTTGAATTTATGTTTACCATGTACTTTGTTTTTGTCTTCACAATAGCAGTCATCCCACTATCCGCTATGCCACTATAGCATATTGGGGGTTCGGTGCTACGCACCACTATCCGAGATTAGCGACCTTGGTTTTTCCCATTTAAGTAATTGTGGATTAGGAAATCAATAACAATACCGGTTATTAAATATGGGTGAAATTATGTTATAAGACTATAGATAAGAAACTTGATTTTCAGGATCTTAATTTGTTTGGTATTTTCCATGCACTCTGCATGTAGTGTTTGGGTGTTTGGTTTAAGATTCAGTTATGATATTGGAAATATTGCCAGTCTCTTTGAATGGTGATACCATATGTTTTATGTTGAACTGATATTGATGTCAAACATCTTGATATATTTCAGTTGAACAAAACTGTCAGTGGACCAAGAAATGCAGGAGTTATTGGTGATCGGGTGTCAAGAGAAAGTAAGTAACCAATTATATAATATATTCAGCTATTTGTTTGTCCTTTTATCTAATTAGGCGCTATTTATCTTAATTATTATCCTTGTAATACTGTGTTTTTTAAGATTTGAGGTGCTTAGATGTGTTATATTCTACTCGTGGCTTTGATGTGTAACATCTAGTATTAAAATCTTGTGCTGTCAATGAAAGTTTTGTACCATTATTTTCTAAACTTACTTAAAATTCCTTAGTTAATTCGTAGCCACACGGCAAAACTATTAAATCATTTGCAACTCTTACCCGAATTTTTTTACTCTGTAGTCTGTCCTTTTTCTCTCCCCTCTATGCGGAACACACCTACCTAGGTTTGCAAAGTTTGAAATTGTTAATAAGTCATCTTAAATGTTGGAAATCAAGGCAAACTTGGGTTAGATGTTATGATCTTATTATTTTAAAAAATATGTAGTTGCAGTTTCTTCTCTCTTTCTACCATTATTAAGAAATCTCAAGCTGTGTTTACAAGCATTGATTTAGAACCTCTCCAAATATCTATTTTTGCAAGTGGAAAACCTTTGGGTGACTGCTGCAAGCTAGCTTGTAGATTTAATGGTTTTTTAAGCAGAGAAAGTTCCACTTTCTAAAGAAGGGGCTAGAGAGATGTCAGGTCATAATAACTCGTGATTATATTCAGGTGTTGTCTTGGTTTTTGCAACCACAATAATAACGTAGAAGGAGGCTATGCTTTGCAGTATATGATTTTTCATCAAGGAAATTGCCTTGTTTTTGTGGTCATTCAGTGTCTATAGGTGTGTTTAATTTTTCTCTTCCTTTCTGAAGTTTGTTGCTGCAAGAGACATAGATATACATCAGTCAGGTTAATGGATAATTTGTTGGTTAGAATTTTTGAGTTTGGACTTGGAGATGATCAGTGTTATCAAATAGTGGCGCCATGTCTGCTATGGCGGATACATGGCGGTTTTTGAGCTTACCGCAATGGTAAATGTCGGCCGATATTGGGGGGTTTTTCCGCAATAATCCACTATAGCGGCACCACAAAGCGACCAATATGGCGGGATTTTGGCTTTTTGCCTCGGACCGCCTTCTGCCATCAACAACACTGGAGATGATGCATCTAAGTGAAATATGTATTTAGGCTTTATAGCTATATCCCTTTTCTGCATGGATTCTTGTTTCATCTGCTTAATTATTATTATATTTGGTATTCTTGACTAAAATATTTCCATTCCTATATTTTGTACAGATTCCTCTGCTTCTGAATGGTCACAGAGGGATGATACTCCCTACTGGGTTGACTATCACACTTGTGACAGTGAAGGTTCTCAGGATGGCAAAAGATGGTCCTCACATCCACATTCTTCTGTCACTCATCTACAAGAATCAAAACCCTTATATCGAACGTCGTCGTATCCTGAGCAGCAACGGCAGCTGCAACACCACCTCGAACATCGCTCCAGTGAACCTGTTCCTAACTGGTTTGATCAGAATTTTTATGATAGTGAAACTGCTGATGATGAAAAGAGTTGGTCATCACATCCACATTCATCTATTTCAAACACAGAAGGACCAAGGTCCTTGTATAGAACGTCGTCTTATCCTGACAAGAGACAAGAGCTTCCTTGTTTTTCAAGCGAACCAGTTTTGGCACCTAAATCTTCATTTACTTCCTATCCTCCCCCTGGTGGTAGGTCTCAACAGTCTTCTTCAAACCACAGTACAGGTCAGTTGAATATTCCTTATGCTGGGGGAGGTCACATAGCACTGTCATCACAAAACCGCTCTCATTTATTCAATTCTGCATTACATTTGGGTGGATCGAAATATGAGCCACATTTTAGTGGAAATTTGGCCCAATTTAATACCGGCTCTCCCCTCAATAATCAAATCCAGAATCAATGGGTCAACCAAACAGGGTTGTATCCTGGAGATAATTCAAACCTCCTGAATAATATGCTACAGCAACAACTGTACCATCACAATGGATCAGTGTCTCCTCACTTATTGACTCAGCTGCAGCAACAGCCGCATAGATTGCATCATTCTGTTCAGCAGTTAATGTCAGGTTTACAGCCCCATTTATTTAATCGCCATCTTTTGCCTGGATCATCTATTGGTAGAAAATATGAACATGTGCATGGTTTTGGTGATGTTAGAGAACATAGACAAAAATCAACTCGGAGACATCGGTTTTCTCAACAGGGTTCAAATGTGAGTAGCGAGAAGAGCGATAGTTGTTCAATACAGTTCAGGTCCAAGTATATGACTAGCGAAGAAATTGAGAGTATTCTTAAAATGCAGCTTGCCGTGACTCATTGTAATGACCCATATATTGATGACTATTATCACCAAGCTTGTCTTGCAAAAAAACCTTCTGGGGCTAAATTTAAATTTTCATTTTGCCCAGCCAAAATAAAGGATCTTTCCTCACGATCCCGTGCCAATTCTGACCCACACAGGTTTCTTCAGGTTGACACTCTAGGGAGGGTTTCATACTTGCCCATTCGGAAGCCTCGCCCTCTTCTTGAAGATGATCCTCCAAACACCTCTGCTAGTGGTGGCTCTGAGCGAAATATTCCAGTGAAGCCCCTTGAGGGGGAGCCTTTGTTTGCCGCCAGAGTTACGATTGAGGATGGTCTCTGTCTTCTTCTTGATGTAGATGATATTGATCGTTTCCTAAAGTGCAATCTGCTTCAAGATGGCGGAACTCAATTCTTACGAAGAAGGAGTGTCCTTCTGGAAGGATTAGCAACATCACTCCATCTCGTGGACCCACTGGGAAAGAATGGACACAAAGCTGGGCTTGCTGCTAAGGACGACCTTGTTTTCTTGCGATTAGCATCTCTTTCCAAGGGACGGAAGCTCCTAGCGAAGTATCTTCGGTTGCTTGTTCCTGGTAGTGAGCCTATGCGGATTGCCTGCATGGCTATATTTCGTCATTTAAGATTCTTATTTGGTAGTATCCCTTCTGATTCAGCAGCGGCGGAGACTTCAAGTGATCTTGCTATGGTTGTTTGTCAGTGTGTCCAAGGAATGGATCTTGGTTCTCTTGGTGCTTGTCTTGCAGCAGTTGTTTGTTCCTCAGAGCAGCCTCCTCTGCGTCCCATTGGAAGCTCTGCTGGAGATGGTGCTTCCCTTGTTTTAGTGTCTGTCCTCGAGGGGGCTACTGAACTTCTAACTGATCATCAAGCTGCTTCTAAAAATAAATTGGGCAATCGCTCATTTTGGCAGGCCTCATTTGATGAATTTTTTGACCTCCTCACAAAGTATTGCATGAATAAGTACCAGAGTATCATGCAATCCCTGCTTACACAAGGGGCACAAAATGTGTCCGCAATTGGATCAGATGCTGCTAAATCGGTGAGTAAGGAAATGCCTGTTGAGCTTCTACGTGCAAGTCTTCCTCACACCAATGATCGCCAGAGAAAGTTATTACTAGATTTCGCTCAACGCTCTACGCCTGTGGTTGGATTTAACACCTATGCTGGGCGCAGTACTAGTCGCGTGAACTCAGAGACGGTGATTAGTTGATAGTGTAGAGATTTCTTATGGTAATGGTTTTTTTGGCTTAGTTTCACATCAAATGTGCCACCTTGCATCTTTTCAAGTACATTATGTAGCTGTCTAAAACTGAAAGGTGCAAGTTGCATCTATGGCGGGTATACTGATGATATATTTGCTTTCAGGCTCTTCATATATCATGAAGTATTCAGCTTGGTTTGTTCCTCGTGTCTTTTATTTATTTGTGACGGGGGAGCTTATTTTATTTCTTTTCTCTATTTGGATCCGGTAAACTCACTAGTGGTTAGCATGTACAGGTTTAGGAAGATATTTGATTCCCTCCTATGATCCCTTTTAATCTTTCTATTATGTATTCAAATCGACACATGATGATAGGAGTGAACTGGGAAACATGCTGACCAGTTGGTGGGGCTGAAATACATAGGAACTACTTAAGAATAATTTATGTTGGTCTTGCTGCATAGCTTTATATTTTTGAATTATAAATTTAGTAAGAGGAGTAGAGCAAATAGAGTATTATTTAGAGACAATAAATATAGAAAGTATGTTTCATGATTAAAAAGGAGTGTATATTTTTTTTTGGCTTGCGTAGTGAGAGACATGTTTTATCCATGTGTTTTTTTACTCATTTTTAAAAGATTTGTTTCGGCATAATTGTGGTATTTGACTAATTTCACTTTTCAATTATTATAGTGAATTTCTTAATCTTTCCCATGATCTTCTTATCTTAATCTTATGCTTTTCAAAATTGAAAGTATATTTTTGGTTCGTACTATGCTATATATGAATTACATTGGAAGGGTTTGGTGCAAATTAAAAGTATATTTCTGATTTTTGGAATGGCGTCATGCTTCTTTCCCTCCCATTACACTAATTATTTTCAAAATTAAACATAAAACTCTCTCAAACTCTTATTACATCCTTCACATATTTGATCAAAATTGCAATCAATTAAGTAAAATCAACACCAATCAATTAAATAAGTTGTTTTTCAAAATTTTAAAGTTTATGTAATTTCTACTCAAATTAGTGAATTAGGATTTAAATTGTGATATTGTAGCTTATTATCAACATTAAGAGTCATTAGAAATGTGTCTAAAATTAATTGAGCTCATGAGGGCATTCGGACGTCATTTTCGTTGCTTATGTGGTTAGGTAATATGATACGAGTTATATTGAAGATAAGCTGCATGCCTGCACATATGATCCGTTCCGAGAGATTTTAGACACGAAATTAATTTTAGACACATTTCTAATTTTGTGATTAATGTAATTCAAGAAACATATATATATATATATATATATATATATATATATATATATATATATATATATATATATATATATATATATATATATATATATATATATATATATTATTAAAAATTAGTTACGTTGATATTTATACTAATAGTTGTAGTTAGAGATGAAAGTGAGTCAAGTCGAATTCGTCTCATATCTGCTCGGTTTGATAAGAATTGATTTAACGCGTAACTTGAGTTTGACATGAATTTTTTTCAAGATTTGACTCGATTTATTTTAAGATTATAAATAATTTAGTTTAATTCATTAGATTTAGTTCGTTTGCTTCATAGATTTTAGAGTCATTTATTTAAAGTCAAATTTTTATTTTTATTTTTTTAACGCTATTTAATAAAAATAACTTTTGTTTTTAATTTTTTAACTCTATTTAAATAAAAATTAAATACACTCAACAATGAATTTTAATCTAAATAGAAATTTTAATCTAATTAATATTTAAAAATTAGAATAGTTTGTATGAATATAATTATCAATCACTTAAGATGATTATTTTATTTAATATATCGAGTTAATTTATGAATTTAACGAATTGAATTATATATAATTTAAATTAATTATTTAATTTTTTTCTTCATTTTTACGCTCATTTAATTTATGAATTTAGTTTGATAAGGTTAGTTAAGACAGTAGTCGGATCCAATTTAATTTAACTCATATAAAAAATATTAATTATACATTAATATAGTAATAATAAAAATAAAAATTTTTAGGAGAGATAAAGATAATCCATTGATAGTCAGAATTTGACAAAGACAAAATAGTCTCTTAAAATGTTATTACAGTACACCCCTTATTAGGTAATAAGAAAACTATTCAATTCCTCTTTCCCTTCTACCATTTCTTCAACAAAACCCCAAACCATTATTTCCATTTCTTCCATCATCTACCCCCTCCTTCGCCGGAGTACCCCCATCCAACCGCTACGCTCTTCATTTCCGCCCACACCTTCCCAGTTTCCCCTATCGCCGGACCGTTCCAGATCTGCAGCCGATCATCTTCTCCAACCCTCCCACCTGGTCTGCGCAGGTCTAATTCCATTTCCGACCGGTTAACTAGTCCGCTCCGTTCGTCAGTCACCGGGCCCACAGAAGAGTCCCACCGACATCTGCGCCGGTCTATTCCAAACCATCACTATCCCGGTTTGCCGCCAAGTTTTCTTCTTTTATATTTTTCTCGTTTTTTCTTTTTTTTTTCTTTCTGTTTTCTGCTTTGCTTCATTAATGCTGAGAAGGTTGATTCAGAGAGGAGAATAAAAGAATCTGCCTTTGCATTTTCAATTTTGGAGATTTTTGAAATTAGGGTTTACTATTTAGTATATGTGAATGGCGATGAGGTTGTTAGATGAAAAGTAGAGGAGTAGTGGGTATAGGGTAATGAGCTTAATAATAATGGAAAATGACTCTTGGAAGTTAGGGTTAATGTTACTCAACTTCATAACCCTCATGCATGGACACATGGAGTGTGCCACCTTATAACGGGTTGCCCAATTTCTTAGAATTTTGAATTGTGTATGCATCAATATTTAGATGTATCAACTTTGGTGGTGGTGGTGGTGGAGGATGAAGGTATAAAGATGCGTGCAAAATGAATGTGTTGGTTTGTGTTGATTAGAAAGGGAAGAGGGAGTAGTGTGTTTTGTTATAGAAGGATAATTCTTAGGGATGATTGGTACTGGTTGTTGGTTTTTAAATTTTCTATTGATTTGTGGTTGCACCCTTTAGTGTTTATGACTGTTGTGACCTTGTGACCAATTTGTGAGCTATCCCGTTAGCGTTAACAGAATCTAATTGTTTATGACCCCTGTGACCTTGAGACTGATTTGTGAGCTATCTGGTTAGCATTAACAGAATCTGACTGATTTACTGTTTTTTGTATTATTATGTGACTGATTTTGGAGGTCCCATTGAGGGATGATAATGAAGGACGAGTTTATTATGCCCATTACAATATCTCTGTACTTTTCTAGCTTATTGTTCGTATGTTAGTTTTGTTTTTTGAGAATCCTATTTCTATGCATTGAGTTGGTAAATGGGTGCCTCTTCTTTTTAGGTACCATGGGCACCAAAAGACAGCGCCCCACTAATAAGGTCAGTACTTTTCGAGCTCCTGCCCCTGCTACTGCTAATGCGCCTGCACCTCCTCCTGATTTGGTTGACATAGTAGCGCGTTTGGACCGCATCGAGGCGCGTCAGCAGCGTATTGAGGCGAGCCAGCAACGTATTGAAGCAAGCCAAGAGCGTATCGAGACTGCTATCCACCAGCGCTTTGATGAGCTCTTCTGCATCATGGAAGCTCAAAACCCCCAACCATCTACTCCATGATTCATCTTTTTTCATTTTTTTAGTTTGTGAATCTCAGGGAAGTCTCAATCTTCTTATTTTAGATGATGGTTCTTTTTTTTTCTTTTGCTACTTGTTAACATTGAGGACAATATTTGTTTCAAATGTAGGTGGCGTACCAATTAAATCAAAAATTGCCAATTTTCAGTTGTATTTGGATTACACTTGGCAAGATAAGACTGAATTTTAGGAATTATTTTTTCATTGATAGAGATATCTTTAGAAGTACTTCATTGCTTATGAGTGATTGTTTTGCTAAGTGATATCTTTCTAGTTGGATATGGTAGGATACAATCCCAGTTAAAACTAGTCCTGTTTACTTTCATTAATTTTTCCTGACAACTTAGCTCTAAAAAGCTAGATTTAGTTCTTATTTTGAGTCATGTTTTGTTTCTTGGGGATGATATCTCTCTTGATAGATGTGTTCTAAAACTTGGTTTGATATCTTGTTGAGACTTCAATAATTCACATACATGTTTTTGAATGTAATAATACTAAGGCAAGTATGACTGATTCTTTTGGACCTTGGGAGTTGTTCTGATGCAATATTTCCCTGGTTGATTTACCACTTTTTAGCCTTTTCAAAGATTTCTGTTTGAATATATTGGTATTCCTCTGTAAATGATCGAGGTATTTAACGGCTAGCTTAATGATCTTTGAATGTCATTTATCTGGTGATGATGAGCTTCACTTATTCTAGTTTTGACCTTATACACATGATTGCCATGTTGTCAACCGATCTTTTTGTCCTTATACACACGAATGCTGTGTTGTTAACTGTCCTTATTTGTTATTGGGAATGGAAGTTATTGTCTATATTTGGCCAATTCTGACGGTTAGCTTGAAAGCCATTTGAGTTTTTGTTCTTGGGAAGCTGAAGTTGATCATGAATTTACTCATATTTCTTTGTTGGGCTGGTTTCTGAGTTTTTATGTTCAGTTTTTTTTAAGAAGCTAACAAATTGAATTAATAAGGATGTGTTTGTTTCATGGATACAAAATATATTCTTGGGAATTTAAGGTTGGAAATTAAAATACCTATGTTTGTTAGAAGGGAAATACAAAACTGTTCCCAAGAAAAAACTATTTCCAAGAAAGAATTTTTTCCATGTTTAATGGTTTTCTAATCCTCTCTTGTAAGTGTCAGAATTTTTTATTCCTAGTGTTTATCATAAAATTTTATGTAAAAATAGTTGGTTATTTCCACTACTATACACTATTTTATTTTTATAATAATATTTTTATTTATATTGATAATATATTATTAATTAAAAAGAAATTTCCGAGATTTTAAAATAACTACCCAAACACTTTTTATAAAAACTTATTCTTTGGAATGATATGTCTAGAAAAATTATTCTTTGAAATAATTTTTTTATACCGTGAAACAAACGTTTTGTAAGTCACCTAAACACAAGTGCGTGCGTGCAAAGAACACACACAAAATTATGATAACCTGCAATAAAATAAGCATGAAAAATTACAAGTCAATTGGTAGCTTATATAAAAGCAGCTATTTATAATTTATAAATCAAAAGTTAGTTAGAAACATAAAAAAACTGTACTACTATTATCAATTCTCTCAATTCTTACATGGTATTAGATTGCTAGATCACGATATAGGTCTTAACCATAACTGAGATACTGCAACCATCACAATCACCACCGTCTTTTGCTCGTATTTCTACCATTCCAGTATCGACAAACTCAAATTCTATTGAAGAATCTAATCGGTTCTTTTTCAAAATTGTGCAGAAGCTTGATGAGAAGAACTTTCACCTATGGCGATAATAGATCGAACCACACATCAACGTGTACAATCTCATTGACTTCGTGGTTTGCACTTGAATTTCACTTCAATTTATTAATGATGAAACTCGCAACCCAGGTAATGTGAATTCAAAGTACTCTCGTTGGTTACAAAAAGATCAAATGTTTCTCTCAAATGCTTCTCTCTTGGCTTTAATCAACTCCCTCGAATGAAATCCTTTCTCTTGTTCTTGCTTGTGCTCATGCACTTTAACTTTGGGATCGTCTGTTCAATTATTTTCAAAAACAAATCAGTGCAAGATTCGTGTAGAGCTTCGTGCTTTAACACTTGATAATTCATCTGCCTAAAAGTATTTGCTCAGGTTCATGCTATTGTTAACTTTTTAGCAATAGATGTGATTACATAGATGTGATTCTTAAAAGTTTACCTTCAGAATTCCCACCTGTAGAGTCAGTCATTGAAAGTACATTTGGCCTCATGGACTTGGATGAAGTAGAAATTCTACTTCTAGCTCATGAACTTGTCCTTATAAAATTCAAGAAACAAATTATTCCTGATCTAATATTTCTCAATCTAACTCATGTTACACGTAACTCAAACAACTCTGATGAAGTAAATTCTGTTAATACAAATTCTTCACTAGTTCAGTCATCCTCTCATAATCTTGAAAAATATCTAAACAACCTTCATGGAAGTATAGGTACATGTGGTGGTCGTAATGGTAGAGGTAAATGAGGTAGATTTTTTTATCTCCAATGACTAATGCCAAGTGTGACAGCTCTTAGTTGCCAATACAGGTTCAGTCAACACTATCAATCATCTGCAATCTTTGGTACTCTTACAATCAACACTCATTGCCTACTTCTAACAGTGGTTATGGAGCTCTTTCACCAAATGTGTGGACCAAACTACCTCCACCTTCAAGGAAGATTCCTACATTCCCTAATCCTAGTGCTTTTGTTGCTAATACCATGCCTTCTACTTAAGCATCTACATTCTGGTTCTCGGACTCAGGAGCTTCATTTCATGTCACTAATGATGCTAAAAACCTCCAACAACTGACTTCATTTGAATGCCATGATCAAACTTACATAGGTAATGGGCAAGGTTTGTACATTCACTCTACTGGCTCTTGTACTTTCTCCTCACATGTTCACCCCCACACACCTCTCACTCTCCACAATATTTTACTTATACCTTTTATAACCAACAATATTTATTTTATGTTCTCATCTAATAAATGTCTTGTCAGATCTCATGTATCCAATGTCACTATGCTTGAAAGACAAGTTGAAACTCCATCCATTACCATGTCTAGCAACGATGACAAATCTCAACTGTAGTTTACTTCTGTTTGTCCAAATAAGTCTATTCCTATCATTAATTGTGCTTATATAAACTCTAGCACCTATATTATGTGGCATTTAATGTTAAGTCATTATAATATGCATGCCTTAAAACTTGTTTTATATGAATGTAACATTCCCTTTTGCAACTTCTTCTGTTCAGTCTATTGTATGGGAAAATACCACAAATTAGACTTTCGTGCTTCACACACCACCTATCCTTATCCTTTGGAACTTATATATAGTGACTTGTGGAGACCTTCCCCCAATTTCTCTACTTTGGATTTCAAGTAATACATGTTTTTTTTTAATTTTATTTATGTTTTTGTCATACTCTAATTTTTATCTCTAAGATCCCATCTATGACATCATTTACATTTCATAAAAGTCACAAGTATGGTAGTTTGTCGATCCTCTTATCTTTAGGTTTGTTGTGTGGGAGATTACCAAGCACTTTTTATTTTTTCATTTTGCTTTATGGTTAATCATTTTATGTTTTACTAATCTTAACCAAAATACAAAAATATGTTTTGTTCCTTTTGTTTATCTTGTAAGATAGGGTTGTGATTCAAGAAGATCAAGTGTGGTTATCAAATTAGGGTTGAATCTTCAAGGTCAAAGATAGTCAACAATTGATGCTCAATGGCTTATTGATCAAGGCATGACCTATAATTTTAGGTCACCCTCTCCTCAAGCTTTATTTTACACCTTTTGATCAAAGGACATTCAAATTGGTTGCTTGCTCATTAAGTAACTTCAAGTAACTTCAAGGAGGTTCATATGTTTATTTTCACGTCTTTTTCATCAAGTTGTCTCAAGATTTTGTCAAGCTTTATCAAAGAACAATTAAGGATCATACATTTGGAGTTCATATGTTCAACAACGTGCTTTGGATTGTAAGGAAAAGTCAAAAGTTGCAAGTTGGTTCAAGGTGTTTTGACCTAAAAAATCAAGTTTACCATGCCTTGTTCGAAACATCATAACTTCTCCACACTTCAACATTTTTGAATGATTATTATGTTCATTTTGATGTTCCGTACAACTTATCTTGACAAGTCAAAGGCCAATTGTGCTCCTAAGGTTCTCAAAATTTTAGATCAATTATAGGTCATTTTGTGGACTTAGTGAAATTTGACCTAAAGGGCAAGTATGGCATGCCTATGTTTCAAAGATAATAACTCCTTCAATTTTCAACTTTTATGGGCGGTTCATTTTTTCAAGTATTCCTTTTTACGTCCTCAACAACTTTCATTTAGAGGTCAAACATCAATTATGCCTCTAAGGACCTCAACAACTTTCATTTAGAGGTCAAACATCAATTATGCCTCTAAGAACCTCAAATCTCGAATGCCATTTCTGCACAAAATGAGTTCATAACATGTTTGATCTATTGTCTGGCCTAGTTTTCAGTGGTTTTACCCCAACTTCACAACATTGCCATTTCACCTTAAATCTCCTTTTGAATTATTTTTTTTGAATTGTATTCTATGCAATGAGAAGATCATTTGCCAAAAGAAAGATCAAGAAACTCATGAGCCAATCTTGTTTGGACCAAGTTTGAACTTAATGACATGGATACTGAAACTTCACTATGACCTGAAATGCAACTTCATAATTTCTCTAAATTGGAACCCCTAATGCACGTGGTTTGCACCTAATGATGTTAAGTGATGAATATTGATGTAAAACGACCCGAACTAGCAAATGGGAGGTTGTGTTTTAGGTGACTTTGCAACCAAGTTTTTATCACAAGTTTTACACACGGAATCACACGTATTGCAACGAATTTCCACACGTACGAAGATGAATTACCTCAACTATAAATAGAAGTCTCATTTGCACTAAAAACCAAGCTTGAAAAGCCCT